TGCCATGGGACTTTTTTTTCATTGCACATATAAATATAACACATAACAAAATTTATATGTATAGAAAAGACAACCTGAAACAATCGGAAAATAATCGGAATCCTCTTCACTTGCTATGTAATTCGATGATGCATACATAGAGAACAATGATCCAAAAAATTAGCTTCGGGATAGGGGATGCTTGCCCCATATCAAATTCAAAGTAAAAGATGGGACGATTGCCAACTTTTGGCTCGGTCACTGGATATGGGAGGGGGCCCTTAGATACAGATTCCCACGATTCTTTGTGATTAGGCACAATCCAATTGCAAGAGTCATGGAGGTCAGGGCGGACGACAGATGGACTCAGTCGTTCCAGCAATCGTTTGGGCCCTTGGAAGAGGCGGACTAGGACCTCCTCTGGGGTGAGCTAGCTGGGTGAGGTTAACCAAAGGGCATTTGGGCCATTGGAATTAGCAGATTGGGACCTTCTCCGGGACGAGCTAGCCAGGTGAGGTTAACCAACGGAGACGACTAGATTTATTAGAAATTGGAACCTTCAGGCAAATTCTCCACATGATCCCTGTATAGAGAAATTTTCAAGATGGATGCACAAGGTGAGGTGATGGATATCTGGAAGATAAAGATTCCTTCCAAAATATAAAAATTCTTTGGCAACTTGCTAGGAACAGAATTCAGAGTGGTGATCAAGTGATCAAATGGACAAGGTCGGCAAATAGCAAGTGTATTTGGTTCGGGCGTGCGGCCAAGATGGAGCTTGCCACCATGTCCAATTTAGAGCATCATTGTAAGGTTTATTTGGTGTGTCATTACAGAGACCACGAGCTGTACCTGGAACGCCATGAGTTTGCTAATTTACACCATCTTTTTATGGGGACTGGAACCCCATGGTTTTCGCCGGTCAATAAAAGCGTGACGTTTTCGCCGGTCGGTTCTTCATTTGTTCATTTAGATGAAACACTTTCGTATTGTCTTGGTGCTACAAAATACAAATGGATAATAATGTTTGCACCAGTGTACTGTATATTGGTGGGTTTTACGGGTTTCCTCATTGTTCGTCTAGAAGGATGAAAATGCAGAGATCAGTTTCCGTGTTTGTCTTTGATGGTACTTCCCTCATTCAAATATATAAGGCATGATACATTTTTTTAGATTGAATTTAACCACATATTAGAGCAATAATATTTGATATGCATGTTACACGAAGCATATCACCAAATTCGTACGTGAAAGGAGTTTTTAATGATTTAATTTTTATAACATGCATCTCATGTATTATTAATGTTATTATTGGTCAAAGGCAATATTAAAAACTATATTAGGACATATATAATTCGATGAAGGGAGTACAGTAAAGAGTGTTTACACCTTAAAAGGATTTAGGCCTTACCGGTGTAGCAATGCCTCAAAGAAAATCCCGTGGAACAGCACAAGCTTAAAGCCTAAAATACTGTATATTGGTGGGTTTTACGGGTTTCCTCATTGTTCGTCTAGAAGGATGAAAATGCAGAGATCAGTTTCCGTGTTTGTCTTTGATGGTACTTCCCTCATTCAAATATATAAGGCATGATACATTTTTTTAGATTGAATTTAACCACATATTAGAGCAATAATATTTGACATGCATGTTACACGAAGCATATCACCAAATTCGTACGTGAAAGGAGTTTTTAATGATTTAATTTTTATAACATGCATCTCATGTATTATTAATGTTATTATTGGTCAAAGGCAATATTAAAAACTATATTAGGACATATATAATTCGATGAAGGGAGTACAGTAAAGAGTGTTTACACCTTAAAAGGATTTAGGCCTTACCGGTGTAGCAATGCCTCAAAGAAAATCCCGTGGAACAGCACAAGCTTAAAGCCTAAAATACTGTATATTGGTGGGTTTTACGGGTTTCCTCATTGTTCGTCTAGAAGGATGAAAATGCAGAGATCAGTTTCCGTGTTTGTCTTTGATGGTACTTCCCTCATTCAAATATATAAGGCATGATACATTTTTTTAGATTGAATTTAACCACATATTAGAGCAATAATATTTGACATGCATGTTACACGAAGCATATCACCAAATTCGTACGTGAAAGGAGTTTTTAATGATTTAATTTTTATAACATGCATCTCATGTATTATTAATGTTATTATTGGTCAAAGGCAATATTAAAAACTATATTAGGACATATATAATTCGATGAAGGGAGTACAGTAAAGAGTGTTTACACCTTAAAAGGATTTAGGCCTTACCGGTGTAGCAATGCCTCAAAGAAAATCCCGTGGAACAGCACAAGCTTAAAGCCTAAAATACTGTATATTGGTGGGTTTTACGGGTTTCCTCATTGTTCGTCTAGAAGGATGAAAATGCAGAGATCAGTTTCCGTGTTTGTCTTTGATGGTACTTCCCTCATTCAAATATATAAGGCATGATACATTTTTTTAGATTGAATTTAATCACATATTAGAGCAATAATATTTGACATGCATGTTACACGAAGCATATCATCAAATTCGTACGTGAAAGGAGTTTTTAATGATTTAATTTTTATAACATGCATCTCATATATTATTAATGTTATTATTGGTCAAAGGCAATATTAAAAACTATATTAGGGCATATATAATTCGATGAAGGGAGTACAGTAAAGAGTATTTACACCTCAAAAGGATTTAGGCCTTACCGGTGTAGCAATGCCTCAAAGAAAATCCCGTAGAACAGCACAAGCTTAAAGCCTAAAATACAGCAAATTAAAAAGAAAAAATTCCGTCGCCGGGACTTGAACCCGGGAGAGGAACAGCACAAGCTTAAAGCCTAAAATACAGCAAATTAAAAAGAAAAAATTCCGTCGCCGGGACTTGAACCCGGGTCTCTAGGGTGGACTACGACGGATTGATGGTGGAAATACAACAATTCACGTGACAATCAAAGTTCAATCACACCTAAAGCTCAGTTACTAGTTGTTGTGCTGGACTGTCAAATTGTGCTTCAATTATGGGACCAATAGTAATTTCAGTGATCTCTCTATGTGTGTTAGTCCATTTGGCATACGCACATGTCGATGTTCTGTTGTCTATTCCAGGTCAGGTTACAATATTACATCAGCTCCTTCCTTCAGAGTTCAGACCAAGGGTCTTACAAGAAGGTGGATGATGAGCCGGTGCTACATTGCTAATGCCCTACTGCCGTACCCGGAGCACCTTGTTCACCATGCTAAAACCAAACTGACGGGCACCATCATAAGACAGATGTCAGTGTATCCCGCAATGCAGATCTCTCGGAGGGAGTTTTCATTCGCGGAAGAAACTTGATCATCGCCGCCATACTCGATCGGAGCACATTCTCCATCACAATAGCTATATGTAAATTGACAGAAATTGTCATTTAGGTAAGTCGATTTTGCAGAAGAAATGGTTGAAGGAAGAAAAAGGCTAGAGGAAGAAGAAATAAGGATGGCAGTTGGATCTTAATCTAATGACCCAGAAAATTAACTTGCCCCAAAATAGTTTTTCAGGCGACTTACGTGTAGCCGGTGCCAGAGGGAGACATGTCGAAGCTAAAAGAAGTTCTGCACACGGAGCCCGTCAAGTATGACGGGCTCTTAGGGTAATGTATTGCACACTGATTTTTAAAAGTTCAAGTGTCACAATTTTTATCTTTCATTTTGAAAAAAACTTTTGATCTATTCATCAATTGTCAAGCCCGGCCGACCTCCAGTTCTGATGCCGACAGTCCCCGTATCTACCCCCGTTAACCTTCTAACTCGTCTCCGCCAGCTACGGATTATTCCTAGCCGAGGCCTTGCCGGCGTCCCCGGGCCTCGCTTTGCTCACCCGGCACCCTAGGTGCCCGGTTGTGCCTCCCAAACAAAATCCAATGACCCAAATTTGAAATTCAGGCAACTTACTTTCCAACAAAACAAAATTGTGATTTATTCGACCAGCACGTCAATTGTAAGGTACGGCAACTATCCATCCTTTTATTTTCTCTTATCTTTTCATCATCACCACCAAGTAAAAGCGCCAGCCAAGATTCGAATTCCGTAGGGAGCAGGCTGCCGTCAGCATCGCCGGTCGTCGTCGAGGCACCAACGTCGGTAGTCGGGCTGGGACATCGCCAGGAGCTCCTCCGGCGACATGCGCTCCAGCTCTCGCTGCCTCCACGCCGGGAACGCCTTGGCCGTGGACTCATCATCGCCGTCCTTGGGCCGGCCCTGCAGGTGCAGGTGGCTGATGGCGCGCATCCTCTTGTACAGGCGCATGGCGGCCACGCAGTCGTCGTAGGGGTGATGATGGCCGCCGGTCTGTATGTCATAGCCCAGGCAGCTCCGCGTGAGATACCGGAGCGAGTTGCTCATGAGCCTGGCGCTGGTCTTCATCAGCGGCGGGTATGTCGCCGTGTCCCGCTTCAGGTGCGCCGGGTAGTCCATGCCCAGCGCGTCGAGGTCGTGCTCCAGCCCGTGGCCCACGAGGAGCCGGGCGGCGCCGCGGGAGGAGTAGGAGTAGGACTCCTCGCCGTTGAGGAGGATGTCCTGCACCCGCCTCATCGCCTGCTTCACCGTGGGCGCGTCGCGGAGGTGCTCGGGCCGGATGCCCGTGGTCTCGTACCGGTAGTGCGTCACCGGGATGAGCGGCTTCACGAAGCTCTCGTAGAGGATGGTCTCGTGCTCGTCGACGACGCAGACGCGCGCACACACGTCCAGCGTGCCGTCGCTCCCGCCGCCCACCATCTTGCACCCGAGTGCCACCGCGCCGCGGCCGCCTCGCGCGCCCACCCTCGACATGCTTCGGGTGAGGCTCTGCACCGACGAAGGATGGGGCGCCCCGGAGAGCTTGCAGGTCGGGCGGTGGGCACGTACGGCGGCGGAGGCGGGGAAGACGGCGAGGCAGAGCGGGCAGCCGTGGGCTTGGAAGGCGGCGGCGCAGGCGGGCTTGGAGGGCAGGGAGGCGCCGAAGCCGAGGTGGTCGCGGAGGGCGTCGAGGGAGCGGCAGTGCTTGCCGCAGACGCCGCAGCGGGGCTCGTGGAGGGAGTGGTGCGACGTCCGCATGTGCTCCACCAGGTGCTCCATCCGGTTGAACTGCCGGTAGCACGCCGCGCACCGGTGACGGCTGCATTTGCCCAAGAATTCCTCGATTGTCAGCAAGAAGAAAACGTATAGTAGTGCGTGTGATCGTGCAATGTGGCACATGTAATCACGTACGTACGTACAAGAGAAAAACATAGCAATGTAATCTTACGGACACACAAATTTTCAACTTGCCATTTCATAGAAACGCACAAAATGTGCTGAAATTTGGTGGAATAATCTGACAAATTAAAGATGAAAACATGCATTAAAAATGGCCAAGCATGGCAGAGGAGAAGATTATCGGAGCAGTGGGCATGCACCTGTGAGCATCTGAAGAGTTGTCCATTGTCGTCAGTATATATGAGTGACCTATGCAAGTGCAGAGGCGCGGTAATCGTTGTGCTTGGTTGGTTGGCGGGGGCTGTAAGAAACGGAGGGCTATTTATGTAGCTGCAAAACAAAACGGATGGCATTCGATTCCTGACAGCGTCGCCAACGGCTACCGTATACATGACCAACAAAAAACATGCTATCAACTTTCTTTTTTGCAGCATCAATGCATCATACACCATATCAGGATGCAAAGGTGGTAGCAGCTAGCATATTCATGGTTCAGGATACTAGCTAGCTAGCTACTATGCTCAGAGATAGTAGAAGAAAGAACATACACGCCAGAATATCCTCAACATACACCCACCGGTTGCTTTTGCAGAAAGAAAAAGAGATGATGAGAATAGATACTCTGGTCACAATATCCGGTTTGAAAAGGCAAGAACAGCCCACCCAATCCCGGCAGATCGATGCCGCGGACGGAAAGATTGGGTTGGGATTCCGGCCGGAGGTCGACCGAGGTGCACACACGCCCGCCGGCAGGTAGCCACTGCGGCGTCGGGCGGACGACGATCAACGTCGTCTTATATTGGCTCCGTCTTTTCGCGGTGGCGGAGAGCCGCGTAGAGCGCCGGGTGATGGGATCTGCGTGGATATCCTGGGAACATACCATCTCTAGATGAGGTTTGGGTTGGGAGATGTCCTCATCTCGTTCTCCTGGTCCTGGTTCTGGGCATCTGTTTTGCTGCCTCTGTGACTGAAAATCCATGTTGAATGGATTCCCAAAGGTTTGTGCTACAAACGGCATACTGGATGGATCTCTCCAAAGCTAAGTTTGGCATATCACAAGACCAAAAAAAAAAAAAAACATTCGCCTATACATATAGGTGCACGATGGAGAAAATAGCACATCTTCGAACGCTCTGATTGGCATGTGAAATTATTATTGATCCCATAATCAAACCACAATTTTACAGTCCAGCACAACAACTGGAAACTGAGCTTTATGTTATGCTTGGCAGTACAATGAACGCTCTGATTAGTATGCGAATTGTTTTTTGTTTAACGTCATTCCGTCGTAGTCTAGGTGGTTAGGATACTCGGCTCTCACCCGAGAGACCCGGGTTCAAGTCCCGGCGACGGAATTTTTCGTTTTTAATTTGCTGCATGTTTGGCCACTAAAGATGAAAAGCAAATGGACATTTTATTTGTCAAATACACGGCCGAAATTACGGAATTTTACATTTTTAATTTGCTGTATGTTTGGCCACTAAAGATGAAAAGCAAATGAACATTTCATTTGTCATATACACTTGCCTAAAAAAAAATGCTAAATACACGGCCGAAATTAAAACAAACATCACGATGCTAATTTTATTTTTTTCCGACGGCCATTCAACTATGAATGAAATAACAATATTGCGCTGCACCAACAAAAATATGATATCAAATTCGAAATTAAACAATCAAATTAAAGCAGAAGAAAATGGCAACTTATAGCTGCACGTGACATCTGGGTGGAGAGACACCAGCGCAATCACCCACTCCCATCTCCCATCCCTACAAGATAGGGAGTGCGCCTTGGCACACATTGCCTGGTCCTTCCCGTTGGTCCAGCGTGCCAAATACGGTGCTTAATTGCTCAGTAAATCATCACATAGATCCTTGATTGTAAGAGAGACTACAATTTTGGAGACCCGAAGAAGTTTTAGACAACATAATCCTCAATCCGATTTCATTGTGGGTCACTGATGGGTTCATAATAGTAGATTCAGGAGAAAGCTACAACAGAAAATAAAGATATTGGTACTCAAAGGTTTGGGAAAAGATACGATAATACAAATACATGATCTGTAAACTTTAGAACCATATAGCAAATGGGCATGTTTCAGAAAAATGACCAAGGTTCCCTAATCATTGTTTTGTCAGGGACTAATGGTTGTATACAACTTCCACAAGAAGAATCCCATATGTAAAAACCTACCTTTGGTGAAAAAGCTATAAACTATCTAATGAGCCAAAATGAAGCTTTGAACAATATGTATAACAATTTTTCCTACTACAATGTGATGTAGCTTTGAAACTGTAGATACCCTCCATCTAAGGCTTCCCCAACAATAAAGCAATACTTTATACCTATAAATCCATGAATGGAGAAACAATAGGCCAACAGACACATCTTCGACCAGCCAAGATAAAGCACGCACAACTGTAGGCAGCAACACATAGGTCTGCAAATCAGTAGCGGCCGGGAAGCATAAAAACAGACAAAGGAAGAGCAAAGGTGGAAACTGACCAGAAGAAGGAAAAGAAAAACATAAAGTGTTAAAATGAAACATAGAGCAGTAATGCAACCCAAAAGGCAGCAAGAAGCTTTAAAACGAAACATAGAGCAGCATGAGCACAAATCATAGAAAATTTGGGTCATCTTAAGATTAAGAACCAACTGTGCTTTCTCAGTTCAGATCAAAAAGAAAGAACCACTATTATTGATTAGTTATTTCTAATTAGGGAAAACACCAAACCACCTGCCGACGCAATGCTGTCCCCGCCTCCTGTCAATGCCACTTCGTCATCACTGAAGGCCGCTGACGTCGGGCCGTCCCTGACTCCTGCCGACTCCCCTCGGCCACTATCGCATCTAGGGGGTCCTCGTTCTGCGCTCGGCGATGAGGTGCTGGTGAGCTCCTATGGAGATGATGATGTAGGTTGGGAAAGAGTGCAGTCACGGTGTAGTCTGCGACGCCCAACATTTTAACCTTCAACATTCAAACATCGTTGAAGACCTCCTGCTTGGCTCGGAGGTCGCTGCTTTCGCTGCCTTGCCAAAGGGCACCAGGCTGTGGACTGTCGCGTTCCCATTAAGTGCAACAACTGCTTCCACTCTGGTCATCGTGCTCATGATTGCCACAAATTCTGTTCTCCCACAACAACGGCTACACAAGTCAATCAGGCTCCCCTCCAGCAAAGATCAGCCCGTGCCACGACATCTGGGTGACAAATGCGTCACAAACTCGAGGTTGCAGTCTCTTCTTGCATCATTTCACGTATGAACCAAATTCTCATTGAATTTGATTTTTCCATTCAAAGGGGGTCGTACAAGGTCGGCAGTACCCCCCTGTGAATACTCCGCTACTATGAAAAGTTCTTAATGTTAGTTGAGCCCCTGGCTCCCTAATTGATTGACCCGCGATAATACATACGGCTTCTCCCAATTCGACCAAATCATAATGAGTAGGACACCGGCCATAGCATAATTGACAGATCCAAAAAGTGCTTCGGCAAGTAAAGGGCCCATATTAACCATCATGAGATCTTTTCTTGTAAGCGGTACACTCATATCCTTTCTTCCTTAATTCATTATTCCATGAAAATGGATTATTCCATGAATTCCTCAAAGTGGGGCTCATCAGAATGAAAAATCTAAGACTACTAAAAAAATAATATGAGGCTTCTTGTAATTTGATTGATTTATTTCTCTCTTTTCTACAAGCAGAGGAAGAGGGCACTAGTTTCAAAGAAAATAAAAACAGGTTTACTCCACCCCTTTTACATTATTTTATCCTTACCAACTGGATCTTGTTGCACCGGGTAACAAACATTTATAAACTATTTCTCGAAGTACGTGTCCGGATAGCCCATAATGTCGATAGTTAGTTCTAGGTCTTCCGGTCAAAAAACAACATCGATGAAGGCATGTAGGTGCACTATTACACTGTAGGGATTACTTATATGCTTTCAACAGCTATCCTCTCCGCACTTGGCTACCCAGCGTTTACCGTAGGCACAATAACTGGTACACCAAAGGTGCGTCCTTCCCGGTCCTCTTGTACTAGAGAAAGGTCCTCCCAGTGCTCTAAAGCCCACACCGTATGCCGGCGTCCGTGCATGATCAGGTCGACGGAGGAAGGGCTTTGGCTCGCTGCTGCTTCCTCCAGCATCCAACGAGAGTCGAGGTCGTCTTTCGCTCCGGCCGACGAACCACGTCCGCCGGTCATGGTAGCCGCCGCGACGGGAAACCCTAGCGGACAAGCAACGCGCCCGCAATCGCCTGGGCTCTCTCCGCTCCCCCTTTCCTCTTTTCTCTCCGTGCAGAAGTGGAACGAAGCGACGCGGCCGATGGGGAACGACTGAACGAGCTAGGGATTTGATGGTGGGAGGGGGAGAGGGGGAAGAGGGATAGGGGGAGGGTGTAATTACAAAAATCGCATTCCAGCTGTGCAAATACGTACGTTTCGGGCGCAAGTGACCGTATGTTGAGCAAACAACGTTAGCATAAGGACCGTAATTTGCAGTTGCCAGAATACAATACAGTGACCAAAGTGATTTTATACGGAGAGTACAGGTACTCACCGTGGGTGTATTTTACTCGACAGAGATAGGCAAAGAAGCTGAAACGGGAGCCATATTACACGCAAAGGTTCGGTTTTGCAGCATAGTTCTTCTTGTTTCGGGGTTATTGCTACTTGCATGCCCTTATTATTATGCCTCAAAAGTGGAAGTAATTTGCTAACCAGTTGTTCCCATTAATGTCTTGTGCTTGCTTTCCTAGCTAACAAAATGTATGGATGAAAGCAAAACAATAATGTCTTGTTCTTACGCTCAAACTCTGGTGACTTGGCGTAGCAATAGGTTAGACGGCATGCTGGATGCATACGGGTTGCCGCAATGACCTGCCAGAAATTAAGCAGGCAAATGCTGACCACCACCACATGACCCGCCTAGACCACATGGCCATCAGCATATATAATTGCAATGTTAACCTGCATGCATATGGCACCTTTGCATGGCCTCCACTCCAGTTAAAATGATCAAGGTTCCTTTACCATGCTATCTTGGTGTCTCTCCCTTGCTTGCCTTGTATCTTGCTGTGGGACGACACATTCTGAAATGTTAGCTATGCTAGTATTTGTGCAGTTCAAGTATCAGTTCTCTTCTGTTCTAGATAAAAAAAAAGAGTATCAGTTTCAGTTAAATTTACCCATAAGATGCTGGTTTTGAGTTGGGGATCGGTGC